GTATACATACATACATATGTATATACGGTATGTTTGGCCGAGTAGGTGCATATGTAAGTAAGGAAATAATTTTATTTTTTTTTCACCGCCGCTTACTTCACGCAAACCAACAAATGAATACTGATTATGATGATGTGAATGCTTTAATGATTATCGCCAAGCTGTTGATGGCGGCGTTGTACGCTTTGAATATTGATTCCGTTATGCTTTGAAAAGCTGTGAATTGGCGGATAATGCCAATTTACTGCAACGGTTAAACTTCCGTTGTACTTATCATTCATAGGCCTTTTAAGAGTTAACCAGGTGGTTTGGTGGTTTGGTGGTTTGGTGGGTAGTAAAGGGGTTGGAATGCAATTGAATTGTTTATGCATTTTAAAAAAGGAAAGCCAATTTATGACAAATAAAAGTAAGAGTTATTGCGTGCGAGTGATGAACGAATTTCATTTCATTTCATCTCATTTATTAATTCAAATCTGTGGTCACAATAACCTTAGAGACTAGATGTCGAAATTTACTTAATGCTATTCATTTTTCTAATTGCGGTCGCCTCTCGGCAAGAAGCTCAGGCCCTCCGAGTGTAATCCTCATAAAAAACCGTCAGCCGTTCGGAGGTAGCTTAGAATGAACTGTAGGTTTCTCCATTTGTTGGAATAACATCAAGACACAAAGCGACACATTGGCGGAAGAACTCGACCGAAAATTGCTTCCGCGCTTACAAAGCGCCAATTCTATATGAAGGATGATGCTTTTCGAGGTTCCCTACTTTTTTAAAGCAAACAAACGCAGAAAATTCAAATTTTATGCCGAATATTTACTGTCATGCAAAAAAAAACATTCTTTAGCATTTATGCATTTTTTGAAGATTAACTCTTTCAAATGTTGACCGCGGCTGCGTCTCAATTGGTCCATCCGTTGAGTTCAATTTTCGATGACTCGTTCGAGCATTTCTACTGTTAACTGGCGAATGACCCGCGTGCTGTTTTGCTCCAAGGCCGGAATCGAAGCGGAATCATTCTCTTACACTTTAGACTTTACATATCCTCACAGGAAAGAATCTAAGAGCGTGGTATCACATGATCTTGGTGACCAATCGACTGGCCCAAAACGTAGAATTATCTTCTCGAATTGCTCTCTCTATGAATCTCTTGCTTCATACGATATGTGGGAAGGGGCGCTGTTTTGTCGCAACCAAATGTCGTCGAAATCACGAGCTTCGATTTCAGGCGTCAAATAGTCGGTTATCATGGCACAGTAATGGTCGCAAATGACGGTTACGTTCTCACCGGTATCATTTTTGCAGAAATATGGACCGATGATTCCATCACCATACAAACCACACCAAAACATTGTTTTTCTGGCTGAAATGGCAGCTCTTTAATCTCTTGAGGTTCCACTTCGTCTCAACTGTGGAAATTTTTCTTATTTACATACTCAATGAGGCAGAAATTCGCCTCAACGCTGCACAAACTTTCGCTCGAATACGTTGGATCTTCTGCGGGACTTTTCAAGAGCCCATGGGGAGGTTGAGCGGCTGTATTTAGTACGCTTTAAATTGAAGATCTCGATGTAAAATGCGCCAAATCGTTCCATTCTTTACGTCGAGTTGCTGCGAATGGCGCCAGATCGATTCTCCACAGACTTCGTGTATACTCAGCTACGGTCGCTATATTTTCTTCATTGCATGCTGGACGTGTTCCAATATTATCTAATAATTAATGCTGGATCGCAAGATGGGTGATGGTGTTGCGAATAGTACGCTCAGTAGGCCGATTATGTTGATCATAAGCCGAGCGAAGTTCGCGAAACACATTCTTTGCAGAACGTGAATTTTTATAATAAAGATTGCCCTCAAACTAGTAAAATGAAATGCAACACGCGGATGACATAAAAAGACTTCCCCAGTGACCGTCAATCGAATTCGAACGTTAGCTAAATGCGATCCGTTCAAAACCTCTGAGCATCTTGCATCTTTCCAAACGGTTCGATGAAGATTGACAAGAGAAAATTTTCCTGGCAGAATACCTCGTAAAGTTCCTATGCTAAAAACAGCAAAATTTTAGGAAGAGAAAAGATTTTGCATTATTTCATGAGGCCTTGCGTGGAACAGAGCTCCGGATGAGAACTTGGAGATGGTGCGGGAGAGACAATTCCATTTGTTGCGTTGAGAATTTATTGAGCTTTATGGCTCTTTAAAGTTTGCGGAGCGAAGGGGTGCTCCAGTGGTTTTGTAAGAAAAGCTTACACCACTTCAGAACAGACGTTTTTCAGCAGTTCCTGTTGTTTTTAAAGTCTCTAAGCAAGCATACATGCAAGCTGTCGAGCTTTAGAGTGAGAACAAAATGGCGTAGTGTTCTCTGGAACGATGTAAAGAATATAAATTTGTTTGTTAACGATGCTGAATGAAAGGGAATATCCTCAAAACCCGAAATAAAGGAATTTCATGTTAGATTTACGAAAAAAAAAACAGTAAAGCACGGGGACTGCCGCTTAATGTTAGGGGTATGTTTTTCCTAGGAATGTGTTGGTTCGATATATCAGATTGATGGGATCATGGATAGATTCGTCTATAAGGATTTGAAACTGTAATGAGGAGGATAATATTCATGAACAGTATGACAACGAACCTAAATATCATCTCGTTATGTGATATCATGGTCCACAGAGCGTAATGTCCCAGAAGGCCTCAGTCGATTCCCAAATTCTTATAATATCGAGAAACTCCAGGCACAACTCAAAAGTGGAATTTCGAAGACCATTCTAATTTAGGAAGATAAAACCCAGTTATAGGAATATTATTACATATTTATAAGATATAACATAGTCTTTGAAGTAAATTGTAAAATAAATCAAAAAAATATACATACCTATTATTTTGTCCGGCTGTGTATAGAAAATTAATGTCAAGCCCTCCGAGCGCATTTCTAGCATCACGTAAAATGCTCCTCACAAAAGTCCATCGACACTTCGAAGGCGGCTTAACATAAAATGTGAGTCCTCCATTTGTTGTAAAACATCAAACCAAAAAATGGAGCTCGGAAATCCAGATCAAGATTTTCATAAATAATACTCAACTCAGTAATAATTCAAATTGGATAAGTACTCGAATATGTTTTGACATTAAAAGGATAGTTGGAGCGTAGTTTTTGTGGCGGGACATTGAAAGTAATCTGTCGAATTAGTGCTGTGTCATCAATGGAAGCAGAAATAAGGTCGAATCTAAGCATTCTAGACTACAAAGTGCAACTATGGCTGAGCGACATCAGTGATAAAAGCCTACATTCATCATTCTACTGTGGTAAGTGGCATTGTAGAGAGTATGAGGGAACCTAACTCCTTTTTTTCTCGTTTTTGGCCCCTTCTTTGTCTGTTTCTCTTGTCGGTTGTTAAAAATATAGCCACAAATGACGACTGAAATGAGAAAGAAAATCGATCCGGTGATCACAGTTGTGAGCTCGAAACGGAAACAGACGTTACGTGCTAAGAGTTTGTGTAAAAACATAGGACTTAAGGCCTTCAATCACAACAAACGAAATTCTATTGAAAGAAAAATTTAATGAAAACTGAACGAATAGGCAATTGAGAAATAAAGTACTTTCTTGATAAACCAAACTCAACTCTAAAAGTCACTCATCATTCCTGCTCTGATATATATTGCTGTAGCCTATACGATATCTTCATCCGCTCCCAGGGCCGACGGCGTTAGAAAAGATTTGCGTACGAATTATCGCGTTTTGCACATTGGCTGACAGATATTTAACCAATATCAAAAGAACGAGAGGTGCTGGAATTAAAAGGGGCTTCCCTATAATATAAAAATTTAACAAGAATATTGTACTGTATGCTATATAATTCATACTTGGTTTTGAAGTTTAAGTCGTTTCAAAATACTCAAAAACATTCTGACTACGAAAAATCAAATTGCAAACTATTTTCAGGATATCATTATTTATGAGGTAGAAATTAGTATTTTTGAGGCCGAAAGGCCTGCGATTATTATTAAAATCTAAGCAAAACAGACAAAGGTACAGGGGGTATATCTTGAGACCCAGCATTCATTATTGGTGCTCAGCACGGAGTGAAGAAAGCTGCCGTAGTTGAGATTGTGCACGAAGACTGCGGAGAGTCGATCCGCCGCCGTTCGTAGCAACCCGGACTGACGTATGAAACGACTTGGCTCGTTTCACGTCAAGATTTTAAATTGAAAACGTACAAAATATAAATTGTGCAAAAACTGAAGGTGCTCGATCTTCGCAAGCGACATCGCTTCTGCGAGCTCTTGAAAGGGCGAAGAAGATCCATAAGCTGACATTTGATCCAGGAAAAACAATGTTTTGGTGCGGCTTGTAAGGGGCGGTGGAATCATCGGTCCATATTTCTGCAAAAATGATGCCGGTGAAAAAGTAACCGTCAAATGCGACCGTTGTCGCGTCATGATAACCTACTATTTGACGCCTGAAATCAAAGCGCGTGATCTTGGCGACATTTGGTTTTGACAAAACAGCCCCACTTTCCACACATTGCATAAATCAATGGATTTATGGAGAGAATACTTCGTGGAGCAGATAATTTCACGTTTGTTAGTTTTGGTGCCGGTCGATTGGCCACCAAAACCCACATGGCTAAATCGTAAACACTTCCATCACGAAATACAAAATCATTTCATTTAATTATCTTAAGTTTTTATTGCAGTTATTTCCATACTAGATAATTAGGCTCAGTCAAAATTGTTGTAAGTTTTTTGCGTCACTCTTTAGATTTTAGTACATTCGCGTAGATGCACCCTGTGAAGAAGAATTTAAGTTTTTAGTACAAAAATAAGTAGCTCGCTCAGCAACCATTATGCCTGCACTAACAACCGCCAGATGTCACAAAACCTGTATAAAAATTTAAATACTAATCTTTAATTATTTTTCAGTAGGATTTATTTATAATAATTTATTTATTTTGTATCAAAAGTTTATATGTGAAATTCCACTATAAATAAGGTTCAATCAAAGCAACTCTGCATTTTTCCCACATCACTAATTATGGGCTCCTTTCACACATTCTTTCGCAGCAAACATACACAAACACATACTGTCACCACCAGCGATGCACATTTATTTGCGTTCACAACGTTTCGGCTGTCATTTTGCCACTGTTTACAAGCAGTATATAGAAAAAATTTGTCGCGTTCGGTCATATTTTCAACGTCGGTCGGTAGCTAAATGTAGCTTATGAATGCGAAAACTAAATAAATAAAACAATAAAAATGTGCTAAATGCAGTGTCAAAGTAATTATTGAAAATTCCAAATAATAGCAATGCAAAAAGATGCCTTAAAAAGTGTGTGGTGCAACGTGAAGAAAGTAGTCGCTGGCAAATATAGCAAAAACAATTTATGGCAGCCATTAGTCGGTTAGAAGAGGCAAAGATTTTCTCGTTGCGTGTGTGCTCGTTTTTACCATTGTACGTTAACCCGTCGCCCCTTGCCTGGCCTAAACTTTATATCTCGAATGCACGCCGAATGAGATACGCTCGTTTACTCTTTTCTTACCAGTTTTATCACACTTTCCTCTTCTCCCATTTATCTTTACATTACATGCGTCAACGTCATTGATGTTTGGTGTTTGGTTTTGCCTGCCAAAACAAATTTTTGCAATTTGGTGCGTATCGATTGTAAAAGTGTAATAGAAAGTGTACATAAAGCGGTGGCATTATAGTGAATATATTAAAATTAATTAAAAAAATATAGCTGCATAATAAATGCTCTGTTTACTATTTATACAATGAAAATGCAACTCTGTGGCAGGCATTAAGAAACGTCAATAACCAGGCGTCGACAGACCGATTATTTGGTGTTGCCTTTTGTGTAGCTGATTTTGTGTATTTTTTTATTTATTTTTTTTTGTAATCATTTTGCTATTAACTCGTCGCACTCCGCAACGCGTGTTGCCTGCTGTTATCCAACAAGTAACCAGAGCAGTCCATCCAATCAGTCATCCATCCAATTTCAAATATTTTTTTTTTACGAACGTTTCGACGTGTGTGCGCCCGAAGCTCTCCACCCACACAAGCTACAGCTGTTTGACGTGTGTTTTGTTTTTTTTTTCGTTTTTGCTTGTACCGCTTGCAAATGTTAAATACGATTAATATATGTGTGTATGTATTCGCAACATAACTACATACATATTGTTTAAAAACATAAATTCTTATTTAAAATCAAAGTGAGGGAAGCTGAAAGAAGACGCACATTTACCTTGCAAAAAATAATGAAAAATTTAGCAAAATATTAGCTGAGAAGTGTCACAAAAGTGAAACGATTTCAAAAGTTGGTTGGCGCCCGCCCACCCCCTCAAGCAATTTACTGCTAAATATAAATTAATGCCATTTTCTTCTCTACGTGGTCGTTTTTAAAGTATGCGAACAAGTGAAAATAACGAAACCGGAAAGTAGTAAAATAAATATATGTATAAAAGATAAGCAATTCATTTTGGCCGTCTTCGCTATATCAACTTATTTCTTGGGCTTTCGTTATTAATTTCTTTACATTTACTTCGTTGGAAACGTGTTAGTCTAATATTGAAAAAAAAAATAAAAATTAAATAAATAAAAATCTTGTGTAAAGCTACGTGATATCAAAGCGATGTTAGATTTAAAGAAAAAGTGATGTGAAAAATGCCTTTGCTGGCTTGTGTGTACAAAAGTTAAATATAAATTAAAGAAAATTGAAAATATATCTGTTTCAAGTGTAATGATAGGAATTCCAGTTCAAAACATATATGTTTTGCTAGCACAAATCTACGTAAAATATACCAGACACCAATACAAGCAAATCCACTGTATATAAAGATATTCAAAAAGCGCTAAATAATTAATATTGAGAAATTCCTTCGATTGCCCGTCCTCCCGTGAAAAAAAAAATAAATAAAAATAAAAAATAAATAAATAAAAATCAATAAAGTTTCAAAGCCGCAAAGTTTAACGTTTTTATTTGCGTCAAATATATAGTTTTTGAATAAACTTACTTAAAAAATCTTATAATATAAAGTAGTAAAGTTTTTAAATTAATAAAAAAAAATTCAATATTAATTAAATAAAAAAGTGTTTAAAAGTTGTGTGTTTTTGAAATCAATTTGTCATCCCACAAGCAGAGGTTATCAATTCAGTCAACAGTCAAAACTGCACGTGATCCAATGATGCACTACTCAATGGAGAGGAGTCTATCAGCTGGTGGGGCTGATTCCTCCATGCACAACAATAGCACCACCAACAACACTACATCAACAACAACACTCGCAATGTCAGCAACAAAGAGTACAAAAGACGGTAGGTAAATGTGTAGTGTAAATGAGAAAACAGCGAATGAAAGCAACAAAATAACATAGGAGACTCATGCAAAATATGTACGAGTATGTACTTGTGTGTGTATGTAGCATGTGGTGGTAATTTGATGAAAATGGTGGCAATAGGTAGAAAAAACGTGAATCTCAAGAGGCAATAGTTATCTGAAGGAAACTCGCAGCAAAAGCAAGATACAGATAGGGCGGTGAAGCAATAAATGTTTAATATGCGTTTGTTTGAAGAAATCTCCATATGTATTAATGTACTGCATTAAAGAAAGAACAAATGCCAAGAAGAAACTTACTTTTTCAATTGCTTATATAAATATTTTAATTGACCTAAATTGAAGTCTGCGCTTTAAATTTTCTATCTTTTCCAACTATTTCATTCTTCATCTCTTTGGTGCATTACACTAGCTATGTTTGTATGTATGTACTTATTTTTTTTTTTCGAAGAAAAACTCTTCGGTTGTTTTGTTACCGCATATTTCTACATAGTTTCATACAAATATTTCTATATGTACATACGAGTACATGTATATTTGTACATACATATGTATGTGTGGTATACACCATTGAATTTCAAACTGGTTATAGAGAATCGAATTTCCGGACTAAAATCGCACTAGTCCGATAAAAGCGAATTCGTGCCAATTGCATATGGACATACATAAATACATACATATAAATCTACTCTCTAATTTGTTTTTTTTTTTTTTGAACTAGAAGTATGATTTTTTTATTAACAAATAGTAGTACTTTACTGGACGCTGCGCCATGTTGTTGTTGTTGTAGCGGTTCGCTAACCCCGCTTAGGCACAGGCTTGATTAGTCTAAGTCGCCGAGGTCATCTAAAGGTAGGCCCAGGAAACGAGCTGTTTCGACGGGGTTGGACCAAAGGGAGAGGGGGGTTAGATGAGTGGGTTTGAGGGGGCATGTGAAGAGTTGGACGCTGCGCCATGCTTAGCATTGCTTACTGCCGTTCGGCCGGTCAGGGTTCAAATCATAGTACGATCAGCATCCAAAAAGTTATAGAAAATTAATTTAAACAAAAAATTTATTTGTATAAAAAACAGACGCAAAACCACAAAATGTAAAAGAAGCTCTGCCGAAAACCGCTTCATCGTTAAATGGCTTCTTTGGATTATAAGTTTTGCACCAGTGTTTTTGACTGTGGGGTTTCTCTGCCTTTTCCTCTGCGCAAAAGTTCAAGGTCTAACGTCATTCGGGTCAGTTTTAATAGCATCTGCGTGAAAACATACATATTTTTATGTACATATATGGATGCAGATTTTGTGTGTACAAATGTATGTATGTATGTATGCTTGTATGTTTGTATGTATGCATGCATGCATGCATAAATAAAAAAGCTTACTACATTCATACATACACATATATTTATATATACATATACACACATATATATATTTATATATATATATATGTATGTATGCAAATATGCAGATACGATTGAGCTAGTCCTTGCTCTACCATTCGGTGGAAAAGAAAGACTGGTCTATAATTATAATTAAAAAAAAAAATACATTTTAGCAAATACATAGCAATAGCATACGGCAAAGCTAAATACGCTAAGGAGCACTGAGGACTTTTATGTCGATGCCACTCAACGCAATCGGTTCTATGCACCGGAGTTAATGTTACCTGCTGACCTAAGTGCAGTTATTTAGCCGAATGGGTGACAGCCCTTGGCCGGAATAAATCGGGCGGTCAACTCCGATGCGTGGAACCGGTTGTCGTGGAAGTCATTGGGATAAAAGCCCTCAGCTAGTCCCCGCCTCGACACTAACCACCTCATCTAGACCCCACCTCCGTCTGGTGTGAACCCATCTCGCTTCCTGGACCTCACCTCGATGTCTAACATAGACTAACTAGCTTGTTACTAAGTGGCGTTGGAGAACCGCTACAACAACAACAACAACAACAACTAGACTTAATATAGTCTCTGAGACTCGATCCCGACATACCTAATGCAAGTCCTGCATGCAACGTATCCCCGCCTCGATATTAACCACCTCATCTAACCCCCACATCGGTCTGGACCGGACCCGTCGAACCAGCTCGTTTCCTGGACCTCACGTTAGATGACCTCGATGACTTACATAGACTAACTAGCATGTTACTAAGCGCGTTTAGAGAACCGTTACCACAACAACAACAGCAACCGGATTTAAACCAGACTTTTCCGACCGATGGACACTTTTTCGGCGGTTGGACCCGAACTTAGGTCAAGAAGGGAATTTAGTTTTTTTTGTAAGCTCTTTCTAATCAGAGTTAGCGTCGAACCCACCAGACCACGCGTCAGGTGTCCCCCAAGTCCCTACTTCTATGTGTTCGGTGCCATTACCTACAAGGGAAAATCAGCAACAGAGCTAAAAGGTCAAACGAAGCTCCCACTTTTCTCCTACAATCCGATCTCCACTCATATTTAGCTCCCCCTACAATACACAATATCCATACATCACTTCCTCTCTCACCGCATTAAGAACGCCATTCCGAGACAGACTTACCTCTTAGAATTTAACTTCAGCGGACTCATTACCATCGAGGTGGAACCGTTGGGCCATGATCTACTTAAGTGGTCGGCGGACATTGGAAAAATGTCGATGTCGCAACTCCAAAGTTTGGAAAATGAAACATTGAAATATTCTCGATAATAGTTTTGGGGTAATGTTGTGGGAGCGACAATCCTTGTCCTGGTAAAAATACAAGTCCTTCCTGTAAAAAGCCTCGTAGGCTACCCCGTACGCTATGTGTTTCCTGGTCTTATACGGCGATTAATGTACGATATTGGCGTTTGGCCGAGATATTGATAACCGTTCCGAGCTGAATGCGAAAGTCGATGATGACAAAACTGCGACATAAAACCCAAAGCTACTTGGCGTCCCATTCGCCAGTCCGCTCTCTTTCAGTCCACAAACGACTGCGATTGCCAACAAAATAGAGTGTCGCAATAGAATCCTAAAGTACACATGTACAGTGCGAGCGGAAAGTAAAGATACGTATACCGTCAGAGAGGTAACGAGTCAAGCTACACTATGCAACAAACCGCTATCACTCGTTGTTACCGCATTAGGACGAAAAATCATCAATTAGGACAGCAACTAGGGAAGACACAAAACAACTTGCAACCAATCGGCGGACCGGCCATAACCTACAACACAACCGCTGGGAATGGTGTAATCGGAATATAAAAAGATCTTCACATGCCTCATGGGTCCCGAATAAAGTAAATACTTAACGATATTTACAAATGCATATAGATACTTTGTATAATATACATACATATATAAATGCACAAAAAGTACTCCAACCACCTCATCCTATCTTCACCCACCCGTTTTGATTGACGTAAAATGCCTAATGTAGCAGACGCCTGGCGACCTGACTCACCGACTAAAAGACAGTCACTGGGCCTGGCAATTCCTATAAAGAAATCAAATTAAATTCGAAAAAAAAGAATTGATTATAATTGAATAGAAATGGAAATAAGAGGTTTGAACGACGCACCTAAAAGACAAAAACTGTCGATAACAACAAATGCTGCACTTGAACAAGGGTGGCGCATGGTGCCGTCCAAGTTTATAATTTGAAACTATAATTGACTAACGAAGTACAAATTAGTAATGACGCGCGAACAAAGTGCTAACAAATTACGGGCCAAGCGATGCAAGCGAGGTGCCATATGGAATTTCAGCGCCATATAATTACTCCGCACACATACACTGTGGGAGGGCGGTGGGCAGGCATGTAAATATTCGCTATATAATAAGTTTACAGTCAACAAATACCTACATACATACATACATACATATGTACATAATGAGCAATTGGGTTTGCTTTTATTGTACTTCCCTGCCGCTGAATAGAAAAGGGTCGGACGAAATGGGCTCATTACACTGATAAACAGCACGGCGACTTGTGCGAGTACAGCACAGTGGGGAGAGACATACATACATATTACTAATTGTACAAGGTGCCGAGTGATTTCGCTCATTTTCCCATGCAACGAACTGTGATTTGATTGACAAATGTTTTCACTTTTAAAACTCAATTATATTGAAATAGAATGCGAATACGGCATCGAACCTTGTGATTTGCCATACATACATATATACATACATACATACATACGTAAATTTTCAAAATTAGCAAATTGAAAGAAAGTGCATGTTCGAATACAAATGTACTTTGTCGTGTCGCAAGATAAAATTTGCCTTCTACACATTACTGTGTGTACTTTTATCACTATTCGTACTTAAGAATGTGTCTGAGTGGCTGGAAAGCATACAAATTTCATTTTGATAATCGTAATAATAAACCTCCAATTTGTGGACTTACATTTACGATAACACGGATACAAAAAAATAAATATGTTTGTGTGTGAGTATGTTTTCAATGAATATTGCGTGACGTCAACACGATTCCATCTTCTTAGAAGAAGCTTAAGTCAAATTTTAACAAATAATTTACAAATGTATGATATATTAAAAATAAAATAAAATTTTTTAAAAATAAAATAAATAAAAAATCAATAAAAGCAATAAAGTTAAATAGAATATTTAACAATAACATAAGAGAGAAAAATCAACAATAAAATAAATCATCAATGAAATAAATCATGAAATAAAAATAAAATAAAAAAATAAATAAAAAACAAAATCAAATAAAAAACAAAGTGAAAAATTAAATAAAAAAATGAAAAAAATTAGAAATTAACTAAAAACGAAAATTAAATAGCAAAAAATAAAAATAAAAATAAAAAAAAAATAAAATAAATAAAAAATAAATTGATTAAAAAAATAAGGTGCAGTTACATAAAAGAAAGTCGATTAAAAAATTTAGTAAAAAAGAAAATAAATTAAAAAGTAAAGGAAAAAACAAATACATTAAAAAAAAAAAACTTAACATAAATAAAATAAAGAATACAATAAAATAGTTTAAAATAAAAAAATTAAAAAATGAAAT